AACCGTGACTTTTATAATGAACAAAACAATGAAAACATAATAAAGCAAGAAGAAAAAAGATGAAACACAGTTTTTTGATGAAACATAGTTATTATTATTATTAAGGAAAATAAGGATACTAATACTAGTGCAGATATGGAAGCTAACTGCCACAATATGCGTAACCAAGTATTACATCCCTATAATCCTGGACACGGCTCTACAAGTTCCCAAAAACAAGATCTTTGTCAACTTTCCATTATTTCACACAGCTAGCAATTATAATTTATTGTGCAAAAATAGCTCCTAGAATTTCTCCATTAGAGTGCTGTAATTGCCGTAGTGTTTTTCATTTTGTTCCATATATATTTGTACAATGTCATTAATCAAAGATAAGGCTTCCTTCAACCATTTCAAAGAAAATCTTTTCATGGTATCAGAGCCTAAAATCTGCAAGCCAGAAACTATGTCTTCATCCTTCTCTTCAATCCCAAAAACCGAATTTGAATTGAGCATTCAATTTTTCCACCAATGTTCGAGTTTAGTATCAATGAAGTTGGAGACTACAAATTTTCTTTTATGGCGTTCACAAATCCTTCCCTTAGTCTGCAGCCTCGGTGTTCTTCACCATCTCACTTGTGAAGAAAAACCAGAAGAAGAGATCAAAGATGACAAGGGCAATATGACTCCAAATCCGCAGTACACAGTGTGGGTCAATAATGATGGGCTTCTTACTTCATGGCTGCTTGGAACCATGAAGCAAGATGTCCTCAATTTGATCTTCGAAATAGAAACTGCAACAGCCTTTGAAGTTTGGAAGTCCCTGCAACAACAACACCTTCCCATTACTGTAGAAAAGGAAGGGCATTTAAAAAATATGCTGATGACTCTCAAAAAAGGTTCTTGGTCCTTAGACGAATATCTAAGAGACTTCAAATCCATCTGCGACAATCTCGCGGCGATCAAAAAGCCCGTTTCTGACCTTGACAAGGTCTTTCAATTTTCCCGTGGCTTAGGCCCAAGGTATGAAAACTTTCGTATTGAAATGCTTTCTAAGGCTCCTTACCCTACTTTCAATGAGTTTGTGCTAGCCCTACAAGGATATGAATAGTCACCTTCTACCCAAAAGGAGGAAGAAAAATTATTCATGGAGCATGCACAGGCTTTCGTTGGACAACGCAGTCGTGGTCGGAACAATAGAGGAGGCAGAGGATATTTTAATTCACGTGGCAGAGGCTTTACACCAGCCGGACGTTACAATGCTCAGAGTGGAAGCCAAAATACTCATGCCAGCATTAAGCATTCAAGCAACAACACTGGACAAGCTAACGAAAGAAACCAGCAACAACGCTCCAATGAGGCAAATAAAAATGGTAAAGTATTTTGCCAAATTTGTGGTAAACCAAATCATCGTGCAATTGATTGTTGGTATTGTTTTGATTACTCATATCAATCTGAAGAATTTCCTCAAGCTCTTGCCGCCCTTGCCATAAATGATTTCAATGACCAATCCTTTATTGTTGATTCTGGAGCTACATCACATATGACAAATGATGCAAGTAAATTATCTTGCATTAAATCCTATAGTGGTGGTGATGTGATATATGTTGGGGATGGAAATTGTTTACCTATATCTCATACTGGCGATGCTTGCATTATGACAAATAAAAGAAAATTGGATTTAAAAGATGTTTTGGTAGTTCTAGAATTAAAGAAAAATTTGTTATCAGTCCAAAAATTTACTTCAGATAATTTATGCACTTTTGAATTCACCTCTTGTGGTTTTGTTGTTAAGGATCGGAATCGAAGGATAATCGCAAGGGGGCATAAAAGGGAACAGTTATTTGCTTTGGATGGAATCTGTCAGGAGGCACTAAGAGCAATAAAAAAGGGTGGCACTTCCTCCCCTATTTGTCACCAACTTGGACATCCGAATTTAAAGACTTTGTCCTTGTTGAAAGAAAGAAAAGCCATTGATGTCACTCATTGGGTAGCTAAACCTTCCTTATGTGTTAGTTGCCAAATGGGTAAAAGTTATAAACTGTCCTTTAATAAATCAAATAAAGTGTCTAAGTTTCCTCTAGAAAAAATACATTTTGATCTTTCGGGGCCAGCCCCTTTGAGTTCTAATCAGAATTTTCGATTCTATGTCATTTTTGTTGATGATTTTTCAAGGTTTACCTGGATATATATTTTGAAATGAAAGTCAGATTTTTTGGCCTGCTTCCTCAAGTTCCAAAAACTAGTGGAGAATCAGTTTGATCACCGAATTAAAATCTTTCAATGTGATGGTGGAGGAGAATTCAGTTCTACTGATTTTATTAACCATCTTGCAAATTGTGGCATTGAACAACATATTTCTTATCCTGGAACTCTTAAACAAAATGGAGTAGCGCAAGCATCGGCACATTGTAGAAATTGGGTTGACTATGCTATTTCATGCAAACTTGCCATTATCATTTTGGGTTGAAAGTTTTCTCACTGCCATGTATCTCATCAACAGGTTGCCATCCTCAGTTCTAAAAAACGTTACTCCCTATTACAAGCTTTACAATCGACATCCCGACTATAATGGCTTGCGGGTGCTTGGATGTTAGTGCTTTCCCTCTCTGTGATACCAAAATCAATTAAAATTCTCCAAGAAGACTTATCCATGTGTGTTCCTTGGCTATAGTCCCAGTCACAAAGGCTATAGATGTCTAGAACCAAAAACCAGGAAAGTTTACATATCGCGACATGTGGTGTTTAATGAAGAAATTTTTCCATTTCAGCCTCAAGTTTCAGAGTCAGAATTGCCCCATTTATTACTGTTTGAATATCCTTCTTTGGATGAATGGCTCGACAAAACATCTAAGGAAAGTCTCTCTATGGCGACAGACCCTTTAATTTCTGACTTTTTTAATTGTTGTGATAATGGTTTTGATGCATGATCTTCTCGAAATAATACTATAAATTGTGCTGAAGATCAGGAACATAAAAATTCTGTTTCTTCTTCCATTTTGGACATTAAAGACATCTCTCCACTCTCTAAAAATATCACGCCAGCAGAAGATTTTTCAGTTGAATCTTCTCCTGCTGAAAATTCACCTACTCGTCAATCCTCATAATTACATGGAGATATGGTCGTTATATGTCTAATACCTTTATAAAGACACCCTCCTCCATATTTACGTGATTATGCTATAATTGCAACTACTGCCAATTTCGCTTCTTTGGAGCCCAAGACCTTAAAGATAGCTCTAAAAGATGATCGTTGGATTAATGTAATGAAAGATGAGATTAAAGCTCTCAATGACAATGCAACATGGGAACTCGTTCCCCAACCCTCTGACATCAATATTGTGGGCTCAAAATGGGTGTATAAAATTAAGTACAAAGAGGATGACACTATTGCTCGCTACAAGGCTCGTTTGGTCGCTAAAGGATTTACTCAAGTCTCAGGAGTGGACTATGACGAAACTTTTAGCCGGATTGTAAAACCGACTACCATATGCCTTGTCATAGCCTTTTCTTTCTCGTTCAACTGGCACCTAAGGCAACTTGATGTTAAAAACGCCTTCTTGCGTGGGAATCTCAAAGAGAAAGTCTACATGGAGCAACCTCTGGGTTTTGTTGATACAAACCGACCCAATGATGTTTGCCTGTTGCAAAAATCTTTATACCGACTAAGGCAGGCTCCGCGCGCTTGGTTTGACCGGCTATCACAATTTCTTCTTCAACTTGACTTTTATTGTAGCAAAGCCGACTCTTCACTCTTCATTTATCACACCAGTCACATAATTACAATTCTCTTAATTTATGTTGATGATATTCTTGTTGCTGAGAATGATAATCAATTCATTTCGGTGCTTCTTGAACAGCTTAGCAAAGAATTTGCTATTAAAGATTTAGGCCCGTTGCACTATTTTCTTGGCGTGGAGATCAAACGGTTTGATGGAGGACTCTATCTTTGTCAACAAAAATACACCAACGATTTGCTTCTGCGCACACACATGCTGGAAAGTAAATCCATTGCCACACCAAAAGCTCTCAAGGATCACTCTCAAGTTCATCCGATAATGTTCCTGTAGAGGCCACTAATTTTCGTAGTATCCTGGGTGCTTTACAATATTTGATGTTCACTAGGCCTGATATTATTCATGTTGTAAATCGGGCCTATCAATACTTTAGTCATCCAACAATGGCCAATTTGAAAGCTGTTAAACGGATACTACGATATTTAAAAGATACTCAACATTATGGCCTCCGCTATCTTTCTACAAGTCCTATCTCGTTGTATGGGTTTAGCGATGCCGATTGGGTAGGTTGTCCCACAACAAGAAGGAGTACAACGGGCTATTGTGTTTTTCTCGGAGCCAACTGTATTTCTTGGTGTTCCAAGAAGCAACCTACTGTAGCCCGATCTAGTACTGAAGCCGAATGTCGGGCCATGGCTTTTGTGGCTGCTGAATTAACTTGGATAACCTTTCTTTTAAAAGATGTTGGTGTATCTTTAGTTAGACCACCTCAATTGTTTTGTGATAACATTAGTGCCTTACATATGTCCGTAAATCCTATGTTCCATGCTCGGACCGAGCATATTGAACTTGATTACCACTTTGTTCGTGAAAAAGTTGCTATGGGAACTCTTGTTACTCGATTTATCTCTTTTGTTTCACAACCGGCGGACATCTTCACAAAGTCTCTGTCACATGATGTGTTTTCCTTGTTTCGACGCAAGCTGAGTGTTCATCCAAATTACCACGCCAGCTTGAGGGGGCATATTAAGGAAAATAAGGATACTAATACTGGTGCAGATATGGAAACTAACTGCCACAATATGCGTAACCAAGTATTACATCTCTATAATCCTGGACGCGGCTCTACAAGTTCCCAAAAACAAGCTCTTTGTCAACTTTCCATTATTTCACACAGCTAGCAATTATAATTTATTATGCAAAAATAGCTCCTAAAATTTATGCATTAGTATGTTGTAATTGTAGTGTTTTTCAATTTGTTCCATATATATTTGTACAATATCATTAATCAAAGATAACGCTTCCTTCAACCATTCCAAAGAAAATCTTTTCAATTATTATTTTTTTTCATTACAAGATTACAAGTACTTCATATGGATGAGAAGTTTAGAACATAACTTCTGGCTCAATTCCAATCAATTGAACCACAATTAATGACCAAATTAACCTAGCTATACAAGTCTTCACTTGCGGCACACCCTAGCTGTTGGCATGGTCACACAAACTGGAGCATAGAACTTCTTGGCTTCGGGGCTCCCCGGTTTCGGTTCACCTGCCACTGCAATTCCAGCGGCAGAGCAAACCGCGGCGGCAGCAGCAGCAGCAAACATTAAGTCCCTCCTACCATTATTGTTGGACTCTTTCTTGCTGTCATCCCTCACCTTCACTCTCTCTCCTTCACAGCTGGCTTTGTTGACACTCTTTGTGACGACCAGTCTCCGGTGGGTTGTGGCGGAAGACCGGCCGGAGAGGGTTGCTCCGCCCAGGAATGATGCTGTCATGGTGATTGAGGCCATTTCTGCTTTGCGACGTTTATAACTCCCAACCTGTTTTCTCTAGTTTGCAATTTTTATCATCTCTGTAGTGGAACTTAATGAAGCATGTGGCATGCAAGCAGAAGAAAAAGAGCCATACATATCTATATCTTATCTACTACATGTTCTGACCAATGCATCATTGCCACGTGTTGCTATATTATCTTGGGCAAACCTGTGGTCCTGAATCCCTATGTTGATGCTCAGGTTGAGAAAACATCCTGAGGTTTTCTTTATCTCTTTTTCTTTTTTCAATTATATTCACACTCCTATTTATGTATATATGGACCTTTTCGTTTTTGTCTGTTTATATTTAAATAAAAAATTATCTTTAATACTTATTCTGTTATTTAAGAATAAGGAACACCGAAGTACCGAACACTAATGTCATTCCATTCTAAAAGTGAAGTCTTGTTAAATTATTTGGCTCAAAATTATTACAACTCAACTTATCAATAAGCTTACAAGAGAAGTAAGCGCATACATATATATATATATATATATATATATATATATGATGTGTGATGATGAAGCTTTCAAATTAGTCGGTGACATATTTGGCTATAAATAGCCGGTGTTTCTCGTGGTATCAAATGTCATCATAAATTGAGTGAGTTGCGTATATCGGTGTTTGAGACTTGAGTGAGAGCTTGGGTGTAATTGGGTTTTGGGTGTGAGCCACTTTGTTTTGTATTTCTTTATTTTCATAGTGAAATATTTGTTCTATCTTCTCCCATAGATGTAAGTATAGCCAAACTACATAAATACTTGTCTATTTTGTGTGTGCGTATTTTATTTTCTTATCATTATTTTTTTTCTTATTTTCATAAGCTATTCAATCCTTATTTCAAAACAAACTGGTATCAGAGCTTTTGAGGAATTTTCTGAAATGTCGACTAAATACGAGATTGAGAAATTTGATTACAACATTAGTTTCAGTCTTTGACGCATTAAGATGCAGGCCCTACTGATTCAGTAAGGTCTAAACAAGGTGTTGTTCGGGAAGGAAAAGTTACTAGCAACTATGTCTAATGAAGACAAGAAGGAGGTCGATGGAAAGGCGCGTGGTGCAATTCTCCTGAATCTAGCTGATGAGGTGTTGCACGAAGTTATTAATGAAGACATGATGTCAAAGTTGTGGCTGAAATTGGATAGTGTGTATGACGAAGTCTCTCACCAACATATTCTACCGGAAACAGAGACTATATACCCTTCATATGAAGGAAGGTACGCCTCTTAAGGAGCATATTGATAATTTCAATTATATTATTATGGATTTGAAAAATAATGAATAATTCTTGGGCATCAAGTATTTTTTGGGGACTAATTTGGCTATAAATAGCCCGTGCTCCTCATGGTATCAAACATCATAAAAAATTGAGTGAGTTTAGTACATCAATATTTGAGACTTGAGTGAGAGCTTGGGTATAATTAAGTTTTGGATGTAAGCCACTTCGCCTTATATCTCTTTATTTCTATAGTGAAATATTTGTTTGATCTTCTCTTGTGGACGTAAGTATAGCCGAACCATGTAAATTCTTATCTTATTTGTGTTTGTACCTATTTTATTTTCTTATCATTATTTTTCTCTTGTTCTCGTTAACTTCCATTCAATCTTTATTTCATAACAAGTCTTGATATCATTAACTATATATATATATATATATATATATATATATATATATATATATATATATTATTTGTATTGTTAAATATAAATTATGATTTTTAGTAGCTAAGTTAATTTTATTAATTCAAAAGAGAAAAAAGAGGGTACAAAGATTTGCTAAGAACATATTTGAAGTTACTTTCCAAAAAAAAAAAAAACATATTTGAAGTTTTGCTCGCAGTTTTAAATAAGTAAAAAAAATAAAAAACTCTCAAATTCCAGCACGTCTCACTATACCCTAGAACAAAAAAGTAACATAAGAAGTTGAAGCTACTTAAACAATATTTATCACCCTATCACAATTCAAAAGTGTTAACATGATTAATTAGGATTACCTTTTATCTATTAGCATAATTAGCGTAAATTAGAGCTGACTTTGTAAACTTAATACTTTCTTTATATGTTTAATATGTGTATGGTATATATACCTCCTTATGTATGGTATATATACCTCCTTGTGAGAAGAATAAAAGTATCGTAATATTTTTCTCCCTATTTTCCTCTAGTTTTGACATGGTATCAAAGCCTACACGATTAGGGTTTTTCTGATTTACCTTACCCATACCCATATACTTATCGTTACTCTAAATACCTAAAATCATACTTGCCGCTGGCTGTACTCTGCTTGCTGGTGGCCTTATCTTTGCTTCCAATCGGCTTGGTTTGTCGATTTCTTGCCAAATTAACTACTGATTTCTGCTGCGGCTTATTGGCAAATCATCAATTTGACTTACCTAGACCCTCTCGGCTTGATATGAAGGTGGTGGACAATCTGTTTTTCAGGTTGACTCATTGCTGACTTCATTCTTCTCCTTTTATGCCATGAGTTTTTTTTTTTTTTGGGGGGGGGGGGGGGGGGGGGGGGGGGTTATCTACTGTAACTATTCTTCTTATTGAATTTTACAATCTGCGTTGTTGTGTTCTTCAGTCAATATATATATATATATATATATATATATATATATATATATTTAAGTGCTACAAGTAATGGGTGACTCAAAAGACAAAAGAGATTCAACTTCTGTCTCTCCGGTGTCTACCTCAGTTACTGTTCATCAAGACCACTTGTCCTTACAAATTACTCCGGATAAATTAGATGGTTCCAATTTTTCCACTTGGTCCCAAAATGTGGAGTTATATGTCACAGGTCGTGGGAAAGTGGGATACTTGACTGGTACCAAGGTTAAGCCTAATGAAAAAGATATTATTGCTAGTGCAACTTGGGTGGAGGAGAATGCCATGGTTAAGTCATGGTTACTGAATTCGATGGTTAAGATGCTTCACAGATGTATGAACTCCGTTGCTGAGCACATGAGACCCGTCATAATGGTAAGACTTTGACTGAGTATTATGCTGCACTTCAAATTATCTGGCAAGAATTGGATTATCTTCGTCCTTATTCCATGGAATGTGCAAAAGATGCGGCTACAATGAAAAAACAAATTGAGGAGGATCATTTATATGATTTTTTGGGTGGTTTAGATCCCGGTCTAGACCAAATTATGAGCCAAGTATTGGCTTAGGATCCGCTTCCAAGTATTCAGAATGCTTATGCTTTTGTGCGCCGTGAGGAACTTCGTCAACTAACTATGATGGCGGGAAAATTCAGTGACGGCTCTGCCTTGAAAGTGGGATCTTCTCCTAAGATTGCATCGGTGATTACTTCTACTGGTACCACTATTCCTCTAGGAAGGTCATCTTCCAGTTCATCTGATTTCAAATCCTCTGATACTCGAAGATGTACCTATTGTAATGGTATTAAACATGTTCGAGAAACATGCTTTAAGCTACATGGCTATCCAGATTGGTATGTTCAGAAGAAGAATGCCCAAAAAAAGGAGGCACTCTGGGTCTCAGGCTCATCATACTTCTGGTGACACTCAAATTGCACCACAACTTTCTTTGTCTTGTTTGGTAACTCAACATTCTCAGCAAGTTTCTTAGGTTGATGCTTCTACCTCTTTGGCCAATACAGGTAATTTGGGATATGCCTTGAGTATTTCTTCTGTTCCTTGTGCTCAATCTTGGATTATTGATTCAGGGGCTTCCGATCATATGACTAATAACCCAACTCGGTTTATTTCAAAATTTAATCCTTATAGGAGTAGTGTTAAAGTTGCTAATGGTTTGTCTACACCAATTTTAGGAGCTGATTTTGTTTGTTTATCTTCTTCTATGTCTCTTTCTTCTGTTTTACATGTTCCTTCCCTTTCTAATAATTTACTCTCCATAAGCCAAATTACTAAGAATCTAAATTGCAGTGTAACATTTTTCCCTACCCATTTTGTTTTTCAGAATATTCTTACGAAGGAAACGATTAGTCTTGGTAGGGAGAGAGGGGGCTTGTACTACTTGGATTTGAGTGCTTCACCTGGTTCTAAGGTGGCCTAAGTGTACCAAGTTGGAGTAGAGGAATCCAAAGCTAGAGAAGAGATTTGATTATGGCATCGAAGACTGGGACATCCATCTTTTCCTTATTTGCAACGTTTATTTCCTTTGTTATTCTCTAAAGTTTCTCTTTTATATTTTCAGTGTGAACATTGCATTTTAGCAAAACACCATCGTGTTTCATTCCCTTTAAGTTTTAATAAGAGTGATGTTCCTTTTGCACTCATTCATACTGATGTTTGGGGTCCATTTTCGGTTCCTTCTCACACTGGTGCATAATGGTTTGTTTCTTTTATTGATGATTGCACACGAGTGTCTTGGGTTTATTTGATGAAGAATAAAAGTGATGTGGCTTCTATTTTTCCAATTTTCCATCAAATGCCTCATACATAATTTAATGCTTCCATACAGGTGATCAGATCTGATAATGGACGACAGTATCTCAAACATACTCTTGGTGCATACTTCCAGCAACATGGCCTTGTTCATCAGACTTCATGTGTCTCTACCCCTCAACAGAATGGTATAGCTGAGCGTAAAAATCGCCATCTCCTAGAGGTGGCTCGATCTTTATGCTTTGTTATGCGTGTTCCCAAAAATTTTTGGGCTGATGCAGTACTCACGGCTGCATTTCTTATAAATTGCATGTCATCCAGCATTCTCCAATTTCAAATACCTCTCCAAGCCTTGTCTCGGTATCATTCTCTTCCTTTCCGTCTTAACATTCCTCCTAAAGTCTTTAGATGTGTTAGTTTTGTCCATATTCACTTAGTTTTGTCCACGTTCACCCGCAACAACGGGGTAAGATGGATCCCCGTGCCTTGAAGTGTATCTTTGTGGGTTATTCTGCCACCCAAAAAGGATATCATTGTTTTCATCCTCCTACCCATAAACTATTTTTTTCTATAGATGTTACCTTCTATGAGAATGAAGCCTATTTTTCAGGGGGAGTTACTGATACTTTTCTTCAGGGGGAGATTGGGAGTCAGTTGGAAGAGAAGTCCTTTTTGGAT